ATATATATATATATTAGGTTGACTTACAAGGTCTAACAAAGGTGATAATGAAATGTAGGTCATTGTTTGGTAGAAGGAGAAGATTATGGCCAAAGTACAGTACGATGTAATTAGTCTGCTTCCAAAAGCTATAAGTAAGATAGTTTTGAACTCGGAATCAAGTCAAGTTCAATTAGGACACATCAGGTAATAAGTTAGACTTTGATTATTTGGTTGGTCTAGAGCTAACACAAATCTAATAGATGGCAATGACACAAATTAGGTCAAGATTTACTAAGTTGAGTTAGATTCACACATCAAAATCATGAGTATATTAGATTAAGTTGGATCGATCTTAGGTGAAGTTGAGCTAAGTTATTATAAAAAAACTCTTTAATAATAATTAATTTTAATGATAAGAATATGTTTAATAATTAAAAATATGTTTAGTGATTAATTTAAAGAACAATTTCTTAATTAAAGACCAATTTTTCTATAATTAAAATCTTATTAATTATTGTTAGTGACGAATTTAAAAACTAATTCATAATATAAACTATTTTACTTACCAATTTAAAAACTAATTATAATTTTTTAAAACTATATTAAATACCAATAATTTTTAGTTTATAAATTGATATTTAAATTGATTAATAACTAATTAGCTTTGTCACTAAAATTCATTATTCAATAATTTTGTTGTAGCGAGTTTATTCTCATCCATGTGAACTAGAATCTATCCAAGCTCATATAAACACGCAAATTATAAGAAAAAAAAAATGAATTTGAGAATATTAACAATTTTTAATTTTTAATTTTTTTAAGGTGAAATTTTTTAAATTTAAATAATTCAGTTGCTCTTGTGAAATTTTAAAATTTTAATTTCTTTTTAATTATCTCAAACAAACTACAAAATATATTTTAAAAAATTTTAAATCCACCAAACAAATAAATTATTTTATTAAATTTTGTCGTACAAAGATAACACATATACTACTGTAAGAATATATGTAAGGAATATGAAAACTCACAACATTGAGCTAGCATTTGCAAAGCCGTCAACCTCTCTTCGTTTTCAACAGTAACAAGTTTGGGTTCGCTATCCAATAATTCTGATGTGATGGCTGTCATATGCCCAGAGTGAAGTGAAGAAAAACATGCGTAAGAGAAAAATGGCATCGTAACATATTACTGTTAAGAAAAGAAGAGATTTGCATGAGCTTACTGTAAATGTTGTTGTTGATGGTCAAGAAAAATAGCTTCACAATGTCTGGGAAGGATAGCTTGTGATGTGGGTCCTCTGAAGTCTTTCGAAATAAGAATTTTGTCATCGGAATGTGACCTGCAGAAGATGCTATTTCAATTGGAAGCATATGGTTTTGGTCTCTAATCCACAGCAGCCATGGATTCTTGCAAAACAGAATTTTAGCAATTTCCACATTTCCAGTCATCGCAGCCAAACAAAAGGCCGTGTTCCCTTCTGCCTTGTAATTTTCCAAATCTTCTTTGTCCATACAATGCATCAACTCTTTCACAAAAGTAGTATGTTCCATGCTCACTGCAACGTGTATGGCTGTTGTTCCGACACCGTTTAATGGAATTCGCCACCAATAAGGATGAATTTTATAATAGGATGAAGCCTCAATCCAATTTCCAGAAGCTGCTGTTATATATATTTGCCTTTTCTGCGTTTCTGCATATCATGTCTTTATATAATCAACTTTCTTTCACACCCTTCAATATTAATAATATATATGTTTTACATTGATAATAATAACGTTATTTAATAAGTTTTACGTAATCGTTATTACGATTTAAAGAACCTTTGCCCTCTAAAATTTCCCCATTTTTTTAAAATAATAAGATAATGAAAATGTGTTAAATATTAGTTAAAGTCAGATATATATAATATTTTGGATGGTGATGATATTTCAATGCTGTATTATATAGGTTCGAATAGAATTAATAATATTACTTAAAATTTAGATTATTTCAAAAGATTTATCATCTGACAAAATTTATGTATTGTTTCAGAAAGCAACCTTGTAAAAAGATAGGGACATCTAAATATCCTGGCATATTTATTTAATTTTTTCTTGCTGATAAAAAAAACTCGTGAAATAATATATATGTATAATATTTTGATAACAAAGTAAATATGAGTATTGGTTTTTATCGACAAGATTTTTAATTAAAGAGTATATATATGTATAATTAAAATTATAAATAAAATTACTTTGTAAAAAATTTCAAAATAAAATAAGAAAAAATTCAAGTACTAAAAAAATATTTCATAAATAAAATTTATTTAGAAGATCATATCCGCATACCAATTTCAGCATTTCATACAGCAGCTGTTTTGAAAACATTGTTTTACCAAACATAACTTAAGAACTTTCATCTACCAACTATAAGTTAGTTTTATATATATATATATATATATATATATATATATATATATATATATATAATATATGCATCATTTTTTAATAATTTTTATCCATTTGAAAGGTTAATCCTACATACTTTTTAGTAAATCCATTGGAGGTTTCTGACTTAAATAAAATTAAAGTATAAAAAGGTAATTATAAGAAACAAATTAAGACATGCAGACAAAAAAAGCAAAACTTAAATAACTTTGAAATGGAAGAACAACAAATAAACCAATTAAAAATCATACTGTCGGGCTCTGGTAAACTTCTTTCGAGTGGCAGTGATTGTGAATCCTCCGTGTGATGGATAACAATACTCAGTTCTGTACCATCTGTAAATGCATTTACCAAAGGATAGGTAATTATGATCTTTTAGATGAGAAATGAAACATCAGTGATGCAGAAATAAACTAAATAAAAAGAACGCAAACAAAATAGCAAAGTGCAATGTTATTTATACAACTAGGAAGTGAAATTTGGAAAGTAAATACTTTGTCTATAATTAACTTTGTGGTTATAGATAATACTAAAAGTACAAAAGTTAAACAGTGTAGGAACGCATTGATGTATAAAATTTAGAGTTGAAGATATTAAGAAAGTGATTTATAAGTTAGAACTATTCATACTCTCAGACATGGTACTTGCATCCGAGTTTGATATTTGCGGCGAAACTTTCATCATTCTGATTCCGGCTGCTGGAAATAGAGAGAACAGATAATTTTGTATGAGAAAAATGAAAGAAAAGAAGCTGGGGAAACATGCATGGTGGTTTGCTTTGGAGTTCCATTATATAGCTCTTTGCTGTTGACTTTGAATTCTACTGCTAAATCTCCTTTCTTCAAGGAGGTGTCATATCCCTACCCTAGATACATATTCAGCCGGACTGTTCTGTCGCACGTTTTTGCTCCCACAAAATATTCCCTCAATCTTTAAATTCTTTTTTTTTTTGTACAATCTTTAAATTAATCTAACTCAACTCATCAAGATAACTAAACAAATATGAGCATTAATACTTTAAAAATGATTAAAAGTTTGAAAGGTGTTTTAAAATTTAATGGCCTAGTAAGCGGAGTTTAAATATTTGATTAACAATCAAACAAAATAATGCTTTCACACATATATGCGGATACATAGCAAGTGGTGCCATTTCTTTTTATCCCGATGTTTTCTTTCTTTATTCTTACATACGATGCATGTGTAAGTGTAATTAAATTGAGAAACAATTTAATAATAATAAAAAATTAGAATTACTACAGTTGTGCTATGAACATGCTCATTGTCTACATGAATGAAACCATAAAATGTGGACTAGAAGATCAATACACAGATCATCTGCAGTTTATTAACTGGACGAATCTCGGTTCTAAAAGTATAATTTTTGTTTCAGAAAAGAAAGTTATAAATAATTAGAAACGAGTGCAATAGTTGGATTGAGGTGTCATAGATAGATTAGAGGTAATTATTGTTGATTTATTTACACAAATATGTAACTACATATATTTTATGTTTATTGTTTTTGTGTCGAACGTGTGAATTTAGTGATGTATATATCAAAAATTATAAAACAAAAATTATTAAAAAAATAATAAATAACATCTTGATATTATATATATATATAATTATCTTTCTAAGTTTTATATTATTTTTTAATGAAACTCATAAATATAGTTATTGTACTTTAAAAAGATATTGCATTGAAATATTTTTTTAGATTACAATGGGTCTTTGGATAATTATAATATATATGTGATTCTTAATTTTGATTTAGTTGTTTTTTAATTATGATGATTGATTTATATGCATATTATTATTTTATTGGTTATGTAAATATTATGTTGATGTATTCTCGATTATCTAGTATTTATAAAGACTATTACTTCTTAATCTCGTGGATTACTTTTAAGCCTTGTCTGAAACTTTGAGATAAGTTTGATACTTAACATTACTTGTTGGAAAGATGTACTTGTATATAAGATTGAGACTTATTGACAAGATTGATACGACACGAGGACTTCTCCACCTTATATGTTATTGGTTAGCAAAATAATATTTGTTAATAACATGTACTTCTCAGTATAAGCACTAGTGCAGAAAGGATTTTAGACGTATGTTATTTTAGGTTTTTAACGTCAGATTTCGATCCGACATTTTAACAGGTGACGTTAATGGGACGTCAGACTCTATAGAGTCCGAAATCTATAAAACACGTCGGATTACACCAAAACCGACGTCTAAGGGCACTATAGACGTCGGACATGGTATTAACTAACGTCTAAGGGCATTATAGACGTCAGTTAATGCCTTTAATCGACGTCTAAGGACACTATAGACGTCGGACATGGCATTAACCGACATCTACTGCAGCTCGTGTCTTTGGGTAGCGTAGTAACACCTTCTTCCTTTACTAGTTTCGTCATAGAAAATGTTGCGTTTTTTGGACTTCTTGTGGCATTTCAACCGAAAACCCAATGTGGGTCCTTGCCTAGTTCCATTCTAACCGGCAATCAAAATGAATGCGGTGACTTGAGAACTAGGCAAGGACCTAGGTTCGGTTTTGGGTTGAAACACTATAAGACATCCAAAAGACGCAAGTTTTTCTTACGAGAAAACTAGCAAAGGGAGAATGTGCTACTACGCTACCTAAAGACACGAGAAAAACTGCACCAAAACACAACAAAAACTCATTTTAATTGGTTCAAATGGAAGGTAATCAATCAAAGACTAATTTAATCGGAGTAAAAGTAAGTTTAAACGGTTCAAAAGAGATAAAATGCACTTGGAAATGCAATGCCGCGAAGAGAAAAGGAGAGGAGAAAGACAATGAAGTATGCGTAATCGCGGGTTCGCGATTTCTGATTTAACAAGAATCTATGTCGGAACAATCGGTACTGTTATAGAGTCGCACAACGGAATAAAATATTTGGAAAGCGTGTTACGGTCATAAATCAAGTTTTGATGGTCCGTTTTAGAAAAACAATTTTCTTAGAGAAAATTTATCAAACAGTTAATATGCATAAAACAAAAAAGAGCATAGGGAGAGAAAAATTGATACACTGGATTTTTATCCTGGTTAGATTCAAAAGAATCTACGTCCAGTTGTTAATCACTATAAAAAGTGATTAACGTTTTCACTAAAATCAGTTTCACAAATTACAATAAGAGTGAATAAAAAAAACAAAGAGATAAAACCTTCCTTCGACGAACGAACTGGAAGATGACCACCTTGCCAACTCGAAGAGAACCGCTCCGACTATCGACACACGAAACGCGAGCTTCTCCTATTCACGAGACCAGGCAAAGCACTTGAACTAGCTTTTTAGAACTTCCTCAGACACACTGTATTCTCAAAAAGCTCAGAGTTGTCTTCTTAGAGTTTTGGAAGAACCTTATATAGCCAACTATTATGAATTCGTAGAGATGAATTATAACTGCCACAGATAATCGATTATTGTTAGTGATAATCGATTATTTGAGTCCGTTACAGGGTTTTTCAAAAGTGATAATCGATTATCCTGAGGAATAATCGATTATTCCAGAGACTTTGGCAGTTCTCATCAAAACCAGTGATAATCGATTATTTGGAGTAATAATCGATTATTCTAGACCAACAAGGTTTTCAGAAAAGCTCAGGATAATCGATTATAGCTTCTAATAATCGATTAAATGCGTAACAGTTCTGGAAATACAAGTTTTTCTAAGTATTACATGTTTAAAGCCTTTCCTAATACATTTATTATCTACAAAGTGCTTTTAAAACAATTTAGAACAGTCTATCTTGTTGCAGCATCATCAAAATCATTTATCTTCAAATTTACCAATGCTCCTCATTGGTAACAATCTAGACGTCGGATATGGCGGGATCCGACATCTAAACGGCGAAAAAAAATGATTTTTCACATTCCGACATATATAGACGTCAGTTAGGAGGGTGCCCGACATATAGGTTAACTTTTCACCTATCCTGTCAACCATATAGACGTCTGTTATAAGGGGACCGACGTCTATAATCCTATATAGACATCGGACTAGCGGGATCAGACGTCTATATGGTGGAAAAAAATGACTTTTCACCTACCTGTCAGACATATAGACGTCGGGTAGGGGGCCCGGCGTCTATAATACTATAGACGTCGGGGCCCCTCCTAACCGACGTTTATATGTCCAACTTATTTACGAAAATACTACCGTCAATAATTTACGTTGATTATTTTGTGGTCCGACGTCTACGGGATGACTTTAAAAACCAATTCTACATTAGTGAAGAGATACTTCTCATAAGGTTGGTACATCTTATATCTACATGATATCGATAAAACTTGCATATAATTTGTGAATTCATTTAACATTCTAACTCAATTGACATTATCATTGTTTTTATTATTTCTTAGTAATTTTATTATTAATTTTAAATAATTTAGTATTTATTAAAGAATGTTGGAAAGATAAGTATTTGGATAATACAAGTATAATATTTTGTAAATAAGTAAAAATTTTATAAGATTGAAGAATATATTAAGAATTATAATTAAAGTAAATTTTTCAGACGTAATCAGTTGGATCCAACTTGTTCACTGAATAAAACTAGTAAAAGATCATTTTGAAAGCTAAACAAACTCACCATTATTTTCATCTTTGGAAGAATAGGGAACTATCTTAAAGGAGAGAGGACAAAGATGCATTTTTGGAAGTTGAAGAAACTCATCATTATTTTCATCATCTATTCCTTTTCTACTACTGTATATTTAACTTCATAAATTTAATTACTTTCTAACATTTTAGATTTATCTTATTAAAAATTAGTCATTTTCATTATTTCAAAGTTTTTAACCTTAATTAATAAATAATTATAGTTCATAAAACAAACGTGAGTGTCTTGAAAAAAATGATATTTGAATTTTTTTTTATTTTATTACTTATAGGATTTAGTATGAAAAAATGATAATTGAATTTTTTTTCTTTTATTACTTATCCGATTTAATAGACTTGGTAATATATTAGCATTATCTAAACTTTATCATTTTATAATTTAGTAGTACATTGATGCACAATCAGGAATGCGTTACGATTTCCTCTTCCTTGCAGGTAAAGCATAAATTATCAAGATCAAGATCTAGTGCTTGACAGATAATGCTTTTCTGATAATTCTTTCTCGAATATGGCAATCACAGGCTGTTTATTATTTGAGGAAAGATGTGCATATGAAAATTTAAAAGGCATACAATAGATTCACTCTCACACACATCAAAAGAAAAGGAATAGCACACAACATCCTTTGATATAAAACATTCTTAAAAATAGGTGTTGTCGCTAACTTTTTATCTTACAAAACACTCAGAACACTTGGGCACAATCATATGTACTTAGTTATTCCAACTAATTTAAGCTCCTTCTTTTCTGCAATGGATGATAGGATTTATATACCTTGCTGATTGGCCCAAACAATCTTTCGAACTTCACTGGAGCTACCTTGGACAAGGTTAGCACCAGGTGCGATATATATTTACTCCACAGAGCATGATCAAGTGTAAAATGTAAAATGAAGACGAGAACACCAACTCCAAAAGTGAAATAAGGGCTCCAACTTGATAAGAATTCGAAGATCAATGTGGCACTGGCAATAGAAGCAACCAACATGAGTCCAGCAGAGATAAAAAGTGTGACACTACCAAATCTGACCTTGTTTTCTTGTAAGCGAATAGACTCATCTTGTGGGTCCACATTTGAAGGAAGAATAGCTGAAGCATAGAACAACATAGATGCAGCGCAGAAACTTGTTTCCAGCCCTACTGATATAAAAAAGATGATGTACCATGTTTTTTTCCGAAAAATTGGAGTAAGTGTACTATCAATATCATTAAGAGGAATGGTTATGGCAACCGAAATTCCTAAGGTGATGATAAGAGTTGCCACCACTATTAAAGTATTTGCCAGAGACTTCAGTTCAGATGCAGATTCTTTGTGTAACTCTTTGTGTGACTGATGAAATAATTCTATAGGAGTCAAACCATCTTTATTTTTCTTTGTTTTCATTGAAGGCGGAACTATTTTCTGTACCTCCTGTTTCGTTCAAAATGAAACTAAATATTATTAAAATACAAAAAGTGGAAAATTAATTGTAAAAGTAATAATAAAGTGTTCATACAGAAAATCTAGGAAGATAATTGATTTTTCTGAAGAATAAGTGTTTCATAAAAACAATATACTGTACAGATGAGATATTTTAAAATAAATTGAAAATTTTCAACTAAAACTTTAGACAAAATTCCTTACTATATATTGGAGAGTTTTAAATTACATAAAATTTTAAAAAAATTCTATATTCACATTCCTTGCTAATTAACTTTTGGCTATCATTACTTTTCAATTCACATCGATTAGGATTTCTTTTTATTAATATTAAAGAAGTATTTTTTATTTATTTATATTGGTAGATTATTTTTATTGTAGATCATTGTTATTTCTTACTTAATATTAGTCAAAGTTTTTCTACCATTGTCAGAAAAACTATTAACAAACGTGAATTATTAGATTATTTTAGTGACATCTTTCTTGCTGATGTTTACAGTGATTATTTCTTTTATCAACACAGATACTATTATTTGTTAATAGATATAGTTAGAATTTTTTTTTCTAACATTGACTGAAATAACTTTCAATCAATTTTAACTATAATTTTTTTCATGGTTAATCAGGGAAAATTTTCAAGCAACACGGATAAAAAGAAGTCTGCAAAAAAAAATCTCCAATCAAGAAAGTCATAAAAATAACATGTATTAATGTCAGCCTATAATATAATAATATTAACTAAATATAATCTTCAATGGAAAAAAAATATCTAGTAAAAAAAAAGCTTAAGAAACTCTATGGAAGCTGTTTGAAGGTTGATTAAAAATATCATTAATATTAATAGTTTTGAATTATTAATGATTTTTAATATTTAAATAATGTTTATATTTGATAATCTTTAAAATACTTGATCCAATAAGAAAAAAAAATCAAAACTTAACATTTGAATGATTTTATTCAAACAAAATATTTGAATACAATTTTAAAGAAGAAATTCAAATTTAACAAACTAAAATATCTTTGAAATGGTGAATTTTTTTCTCTAAATAAATTTTCACAGTTTTCTTATAATCTATAGAAGGAGTGTTTGTTTTTTTCCAAACAGATTAAGGAACTGGTAGAAAGAAAAATATTAAATAGATAAACATCCTTGTAATGGAAAAATGCTAATGAAGTAGATATATATACCTTAAACCATGTCTCCTCAGTACGCATTTGAACATAGTTTGTTGATAATCCGAATTTTTGTTCTGGTTTATCCAACTTTGCAGCTAAATGAAGAACATTGTTATCGTTAAAATCAACCAATTGTACCATCATATTCTTGAAATCCCCCTGCTTTAATATTAGTTTGTATACAGCTTCTTGTCGATGCAGAATAGCAATGTGGAGTAAGTTTCTTTGCTTGGTGGAATCCACTTCAAATAACAATTCTGGATAATACTTGAAAATAAATTTTAAAATCATAGTGTTTCCATATTTTGCAGCATCAAACATTGCTGTTGACAATTTTGCATAGTTGAGAGATTCTTCCTCTTTTCCCATTCCCTTAAACAACGATCTTACAATATCTTCATCACCAATAGCTTCCTGGGACGAAGCTATCGTTGAGTTGAAATTAGTCATGTAGGCATACATAGTACACACAAAAATCTAGTTAAATAAAGTAATTATAATACATTTGTTGCAGTCCTAAGAGCAGCATTTCTGAACTATAAAAATTAAGTTGGTAAAGATTAATAGAACTCACAAATTTGGGCAAGCATTTGCAAAGCTGTGAATCCCCCTTCGTTTTCCATGGTAGCCAATTTAGGATAGCGATTCAACAATTTTGATGCCACGCCTGTGATGACCAGGCATAAATCATAAGGCAAAAAATGAAAAACTTTTGTTAAATATGCAAAAGAAATATGCTTCAGATACAAATAATAACATATAAATAATTTTGCCATGATCATTTTTTTTTCTCGCATTAAGGAAATATATGGATGAGAAATTACTGTAAATATTGTTGTCGATGCTGAAGAAAAATAAGTCGGCAATGTCTTGGAAGGGCATACTGTTGTGAAGGTCCACTGGAAGAGCTTGAAATAAAAATTCTGCCATTGAAATGTGGCCTGCAGAAGATGCTAATTGAATTGGCAGCATATTGTTTTGGCCTCTAATCCATGGCAACCTTCGATTCTTGCGTAACAGAATTCCAGCAATTTTAACATTCCCAGTCATTGCTGCCAGACAAAAGGCTGTGTTTCCATCTACCATGAGAATTTCCAAATCATGCATTTCCATACAATTCACCAGCTTTTCTGCAAAACTGGTTTTTCTCATGCTTATTGCAACATGAAGGGCTGTCATTCCACGACCATTTAGTGGAATTCGCCACCATTGAGAAGGAATTCTGGAATAGGATAATGCCTCAATCCAATTTCCAGAAGCTGCTGCTATATGTATTTTCCTTCTAGCACTTTCTGCATCTCATGTACTTCATACAATCAATTTTCTTTTCATAACTTTCACTTACCTCTATCTACAGTACACAAATATTATACTAAATATCACAATTTTAAATAAAATATATATAACTGTTTACTGCCATTATAAATATGTTTTACACTAATAATATACAGTCAAGCTATTTAATAAGTTTTATTTAATGGTTAATGTGATATCTCTGAACACAAAAGAATTTAATACATTGGTAATGCTGTTTAGGTTCCAGTATAACTAACATTACTCGAATTTAGGTGATTCCAAAAACATTTTTCATTAGGATATACCTAGTAAAATACAAAATTCATAATCAGTTATGGAAACTATAAGTAAATGTAAATACACTCATAACACATTATATATTCATGAGAAATTATCATTTACGATTCCATTCTTTTAATGGTTTAAATTAGATTCTAATTTCATAAGATTTACATCTGGTCTTGACATTGAATGTGAATAAAAATAGAGAAGGAAATAAATTCATGATATATAATGAATAAATTATATATGTCGTCACTATTTACGGATTTTTTTTTTGTTGATAAAAAAACTATTGATTTACTGTTTAAAATATTTTAATTTTTTCATAGATTTTAAAAATACTTCATTTGAGATTTTATAATTCCCGCATATGCATCCGAAATGAAAATACCCAAATAAATTTTTGCTTAAGACTTTAAGGAAAAAATTGAAAAAAAAATCAAAATAAATTTAGATTAATATTTTTTTCCCTAACACAAAAGTAACTTGTAAACCATTTTAAATAGACAAATTAAAGCCCACAACGTTCTTATATCGTTATGTTCTTTTTCCTCTCTTTTTTATATTATCTTAATAGGATATCTCAGTTAAATTGTCCTAATATTGTCACTAATAATTAAAATAACTTTTCAATCTAAGAACAGAATATAAAGTTTTGAAAAAATTGCTAAAAAAGCAGCTTTCAATCCAGTGTGGTCGAAGATGCTGTCATTTATTAAAGATGACTTAAGTTCGGATATGGAGATAAAGTAAAATTAAGTATGAGATATTTTATTATGTTTTTATTTAAAATTTATTTTTTAATTTTTTATTGACGAAATAAAATAGTTAATACTAAAAAAATTAAAAATTATTTTGAGACATTTTTTTCTTAAAAACCTAAAAGAATTAGTATTAAAAAAAATTAAATTTTTTTTACCTGAAACAGAAATTTTATGTTCTTGAACCTGGAGTCGGCCTCGTTCTTCACTTACGACACCCACTTGAGTAAAATCTGTAGATGCATTTACCAAAAGTAATGTTTTTATCATAATTGAAAAAGTAAATGCGTTGTTCATTATTGAATTCAAGCACAATACTAACGAATGTACAAAATTTAAACTTTGCAGGCATCCATGGATTTCACAAAACTAAAAGTAGAAAAAATTTCATTAGTAATTTANCTTAATAGGATATCTCAGTTAAATTGTCCTAATATTGTCACTAATAATTAAAATAACTTTTCAATCTAAGAACAGAATATAAAGTTTTGAAAAAATTGCTAAAAAAGCAGCTTTCAATCCAGTGTGGTCGAAGATGCTGTCATTTATTAAAGATGACTTAAGTTCGGATATGGAGATAAAGTAAAATTAAGTATGAGATATTTTATTATGTTTTTATTTAAAATTTATTTTTTAATTTTTTATTGACGAAATAAAATAGTTAATACTAAAAAAATTAAAAATTATTTTGAGACATTTTTTTCTTAAAAACCTAAAAGAATTAGTATTAAAAAAAATTAAATTTTTTTTACCTGAAACAGAAATTTTATGTTCTTGAACCTGGAGTCGGCCTCGTTCTTCACTTACGACACCCACTTGAGTAAAATCTGTAGATGCATTTACCAAAAGTAATGTTTTTATCATAATTGAAAAAGTAAATGCGTTGTTCATTATTGAATTCAAGCACAATACTAACGAATGTACAAAATTTAAACTTTGCAGGCATCCATGGATTTCACAAAACTAAAAGTAGAAAAAATTTCATTAGTAATTTAGAGCAAAACATACTCTCGGCCTTGGGAATGTCATCTGCAGCTGGCATGATACTTGCGTCTGAGTCTGCCATAATTCCGTTTAAGCTTTCCGTTAAGTCGTGTAGGGAGGACTCTGGTGGTGTATTTCAGTTACTTTTCACAATTGACATTCCGGCCACCGCAAATAGGGAGGGTGGGGACGGTGGCCGGTGATCTTCATCGTTTAGTATAAAGTGCGACAACTTTCTTCTCAAAGGATCTTTGATAATAATCCAAACCTCTTACACTGTTCTCTCACCCGATTTTTTCTTCTTGAATCTTTAAATCAATTTAACTTGAGCCACCAAACACAACTAAACAAAAGTTATTAATATTTTAATACGAGTTGAAAGTGTGAAAGGTGCTTTTAAATTTAAATGGCCTTACTATAATTGCTTTTTGTTACAAAAACACAGTAAGTCCTCGAAAATTGATTTTAATAATGAGTAAAGAAAATGAATTTCAAAGTATGTTGTTCATAATGGATGTGATGTGACCTTTTTACTATTCCTATGTTTTGTTTTGTTATATTTAGCATGTGCGGACGGAATCCAGAGACAATTTTAAATGGATTTTATTAATAATAAAAAGGAGCAAGTCCAAGATGTAAAGTGTGATTCGAATTAGAGTGCCAAGATCCAGATGCTCTCTAGTTTAATTTTCCAAGTAGCATTAAACCTAATCCTTAAAATATTAAACGCGTTCTTATTAAAAATTAAATTTAGCTATCATTTAGTCCTTATAGTTATACAAAATTTGGCTTTCAACTCTCATATTTAAATATAGTTCAATTGAGTTTATTTTTTAACAGTTGCCAATCCATATTGCGAGGTATTGCCGAGCATGCTTATAATTGAGTCTTATTTTTTCATTATTTTACCATATTTAATAATTTTACATCAACATGACTCTATCCATGTTTTGGTTCCAGATCTGAAGGGAAAATAGCTGAAGCATGTGGTTTTGGTCTCTAATCCATAGCAACCTATAATTTCAGCAATTTTCACATTTCCAGTTATCGCAGCCAAACAAAAGGCTGTGTTCCCTTCTGCCTTGCAAGTTTCCAAATCTTGCATCTTCTTACAATTCACAAGCTTTTCTACAAAAACTAGTTTTTCTTATACTTACTGCGACGTGTAGGACTGTAATTCCACCATCATTTAATGGAATTCGCCACCAATGAGGATGCATTTTAAAATAGGATGCATTTAGAATATCATCTGCGCCATAGAAGGAAATTGCATCTGAGTCTTTGGGGACTGGGGTTTTAAAACAACTTCCTAGGACTTAGTTTTAAAGAGTTAGAAGCAGCTCATAGGTTGGAATTGAAACGATAAGTCTAATGACAAGTTTCTAATAAAAAATTGAAGTTGTTACATGTTCCAAATGAGGTGAGATTCATGGAGGGTACACAACGAAATGAAAATGATGCCATAAAGAAATATGACATTAATCAATTAAAAAAATAACGTAACGCTGAACCCTGGGAATGCTATGTGCAGCTGACAAACTAATCACATCTCACAAAATTATCCCCGCACACCTAATTATTTTTCTATAGATTTCCATCACTTAATAAAAAAATTACTCCTTTTACTTCTTACTTAATTTATCCTAACTAATCTATTTTATATTTTAAACTAAAATTATAATTTTATCAGTTGCCGAAAAGAATAATATGTAAGAAACGAATTACATATGTGGTCTGTCAAGTTAACTTTTTTTTTCTACATATGTTATCTTTCTTTCCTTGTGTTACAAAATTAAGACGGTATTCTCTTGGGTAAATTTGTTGCTCACAATTGTGAGACATCAATTTGTGCTAAATTGTTGAGTTTCATATGAGAGATTTGAGGGTGAGGAACTGCGTAAATTTTCATAATGCAATGTTTTTGCAATATCACATAAAGTGGAATGATTTATTGTTAATACTATATTAACCAAACTACATTAATTCAAATTACACTTTCATTTTTACGTCTATGGTGGTCAAAGAACAAGATGGTTCGAATTAAGTTTAGTGGTGAAATCAGTTTTGAGATACTAAATTTGATTTTAGACTTAACTGTAAGAAAGGAAATCAGTTCTAAAGTAAAGGGAATCGATTTTCATGATTATATATATATATATATATATATATATATATATATATATATATATATATATATATATATATTTAAGAATAAGAATAAAATAATAATATGATATTTTAATTTATTAAAATTTTAATTTTTTTTTATCAAGTTCAAAAATCACTTATAAATTTTACTCATAAATTTATTTATTTTCACATAATTTTTTTTAAATAAATACGAAAATTTTATCTTCAAATTTATTGAAATTCATTTCCTATTTTTTCGTTCTCAAATTCATCTTAAAAATACACACTCTAAAATAAAGGATATATATCTTTCTTATACTATAATTGATCCGCCTTTAAAGTTGAGTTTGATAGGAAAATGACTAAATATTGAAATAAAAATTAATAAAATTTGGTGAAGCAACGAATAAAGAAAACATACTTTATTAAAAGTAATTTGTAATTTCATTTACTTTTCTATAATAACATCTTTCAACTTTCTTTTGGTCTCTTTTCATTTCTCTTTAATTAAACTATTCAAATCTTCACTTTATTTTTCATTAATTTACTCTACACATATTTATTTTCTCTCCTGAGAAGCAACTCTATATAAGCAGGAAAAAATATTCATTGATGAGAGAAAAATTGAAACGCGGGCCCACCACTATGATACGCAAAAGTAACAGCAAAACCCTAACTACCCATAATAATTTAATTCGTATTATTGTTCCACCAAAGGGATTTTAATTAATATTAAACATTAGGGTGCTCCCAGAATTATTTTTTTTTACCATTTATAATCTTGGGTATTATTAGTTTATTAAGCACAGTTCATACAAATGTGATGAGTAATGAGTAGGAAAAAAGGTATATTATAGATTCACGTATAAAAGTAATCACGTAAGATATTGTAATTTAAAACTATCTGGCAAACTTTCCGTGTTGCTAAAGAGAGACAATCCTGAGCACAAAAATACTATATATTAATTTATTCCAACTCTTTAGAGCTTAATTTGTTTTGAAATGGATTAAAGTTAACCGCGGATTGGAGATAACAAGTTTGCCTTCTGCCGAAGAGCTGCCAGGCAAAAGGTAAACACGGAGGTGGCAGAGTGAGTCCATAGACCATAGTCAAGCGTAGGATGCACAATCAATGGGATACAACCAATCCCAGCAATGAAATAAAAGATCCAGTTGGGTAAGAAGTCAAAGATCAATATGGAACCCGAAGCAATAGCAACGAACATGAATCCAAGGGAGGAAAAAAGTGCCATATTCCCAAATTCCAACTTCGTTTGCACCAACCCTACATACTCATGTTCTGGTTTCCACCTTGTGGGAAGAATAATTGAAGCGTAGAACAATATAGATGAAGCACATAAGTACGTTCCAATTGAAATCGACACAAAAAATAACGTATACCATGTCTTCTTCCGAAACATTGGAGTGATTGTACTATCAATATCATCGATGGGAATTGTCATAGCTCCGGTGATCCCTAGGCTGATTATAAGAGTTGCCACCACTAGTAAAGTATTTGCCGAACCTCTCACTCCAGATACAGATTTTGTGTGCAACTCTTTGTGGGACCGATAAAATTCTTCTTTAGGAGTCAAACCACCTTTATTTCTCATTGTTTTCATTGCAGGTGGAACTATTTGCTCCACTTTCTGTGTAAGAAAATTACCTTAAACAACGTTATTGTTATAGGAAAAATCCTAATTAATCAAGTAGAATTGTATACCTGAAACCATAACTCCTCGCTACGCATTAGAACATGTTCTGTTGGTAATGCAAATGTTGGTTCAGGACGCAATTTTCCAGCTAAGTGAAGAACATTGTTACCCTCAAAATCAACTAATTGTGTCATCAAATCCTTGGAATCTCCCTTGCTTAATATTAGTCGGTATATATCTTCTTGTCGATATAGAATAGCAATGTGAAGTAAGCTTCTTTTCTCTGAACTCACTTCAAATATCAAATATGGATGGTACTTAAAAAGAAATTCTAATATCATAACGTTTCCAGATTTTGCTGCATCAAACATCGCCCTTGACAATTGTTCAGAGTTGAGAGACTCTTTCACTTCTTCCATTCGCTCAAACATCGAGCTCACTAACTTTAGATGGTCAGTAATTTCCTTGGACAATGCTGCCATTGAGTTTAAATTAATTATTAGTCATCTGAGCATGGTATTTAGTTTAATACAGTGCATGTTGGATTTTAATTTCTCTTTTAATTAAAGAGTTAAATTTCTCTTTTATCTTTTTTTTTTATCTATTTCTCATTACATATATTGTTTTCATTATCACCTGACAAGACAAACCTTGTTAGTCGAAGTACATCAGCTGCGTTTAGATTCAACAGAGTGATCGTGTTGGAAACTATATATTCTTATTTGGAGATAATCGTCTTGTACATGTGGATACGTCTAGGGCAAGAAGGTATGTATTTGTAGGGTATACACGAGAGAAAAAGGACTACAAATTGCAGTGCACCAAAAAATATCAACTATTTACGCCTGGCTATGGAATTAGGTTCACAAAACTAAAGTAACATCTATGAGCTAGAAAAATAAAGTTTTTAGGAGTTATAAGTACTCACAAAGTTGAGCAAGGATTTCCAAAGGTGTCGATCGATCTTCATTTTCTACGGTAACCAATTTTGGGTAGCGATCCAACAAATCTGATGCCACAGCTGTAATGGGCATAATGAAGTGAAAGAAGATTATGCAAGAGAAAAATGGAAGAATGATAAATTATTGTTTAACATGCAAAGTGAAGAAAGCAGACAGTGCAGTGAAACAGTTGTGACGGTGGATGAGCATACTGTAAAGGTTGTTGGTGATGGTAAAGAAAAATAGCTTCACGATTTCTTCTTCGAAAGTTAGATTGTTGTTTAGGTCGTGTAGGTCCTTTAATGTTTTTTGAAGTAAGAACTCTGTGATTTTAAGGTGGCCTGCAGAAGATGCTAATTGAATAGGCAGCATATTTTTTCGGCCTCTAATCCATAGCAACCTTCCATTCTTGTTCAACAGAATTTCAGCAATTCGGACGTTGCCTGTAATGGCAGCCAAACAGAAGGGTGTATTCCTATCTGCCATGCGAATTTCCAAATCTTGCATGTTCATACAACTTATCAGCTTTTGTACAGAACTGGTTTTTCCCATTATTACAGCAATATGTAGGGCTGTAAGTCTGCTATCAGTCATTGGAATTTGCCACCAATAAGGATGGATTCGGCAACATGATGAAGTTTCACTCCAATTTCCTGAAGCTGCTGCCACATATATTTCCCTTTTGTCTTTTCCTGCATTTATACAATCACATTTCTAAATCTTCAGGGGTGTCTTATATTGAAATGAAAGAAAATTGTAAAAAAGCATTATGATTGATTTCCAATCACCATTTTTAAACAATAAAAAAATATTATTGTATTCAATCAATATTAGCCAAATTCTTTTAGGGTAACAAAATTTGTTGGTATTCAATACTATAAAAGAATTTATCACGTATTAAAAAGTATACAACAATTGAAATTTTATGAATCTTGTATAATTTTTTCATTTATCCGTATAAATATTACTTTCATGAAGTACTTTTTGTTTACTTATGTGAGAGTTTTATATTTTCATTCAAAGCTTTCTTAATCTTAAAAGTGATATAATAGCCATAAAACTCTATCTTTCTAATTTAAACGTTTTTCTATATATAAACAACTATTTTCTATTATTTCTCTAATAATAATATTATTGTTATCGTGAAAATAGAATTTTTGTTTTTTATTTAACTTTTGTATATACGACATTTTATAATTTATTGTATTTTTAAACTTTATCTTTAATGTTATAGATCAAAGTTTAGTAACAATTTTTTATAAATATTTAAAATTTAAACTATAAAATCTTAATCTAAAAGTCTTCAAAAAGATCATTATATATATATATATATATATATATATATATATATATATATAAGTCATTTTAATTGAATATAGTACTTTGACTTATCTTCTGATATATTAAATATTAATATAACATTTTAAAAAAATTATTTCAATTCATGGCCTTTATATTAGAGTATTAATATGTTTTATATGATCAAAGTACCTTTGCACATTATATCAATTTTTACTTTGTAAAATAACATACATGACCGAGATTATGTATTTTTTTTTTGTCAACTGCAAATACTTGATGAGATGTGAGAAGTGCATATATAGTCAATTTTATTTTTTTAATTGTAATGTCTTGAGCATACCAATGTTTGGCTCAAAAAAAGTTAAGACCGTGAAAATATATTAAACTTTGTTAAATTAAATACAATTTGGGTGGTGACGAAATTTGAATAGATTATTAATTATGCTAGATAGATAGGTCCCAATAGAATCAATATCACACAAAATAATTCATTTTGAAATACCTTTTTCATTACATGAAATATATGTCATATTTATGTTTAAACAAAATAACCACATTTCACTTATTTGCCCGTCACAGAAACAAGGGAATAATGTTTTTATTAAATTGAATTCATAGACTGTGAATAACAAACTTAATGCATATTCTCTTATCGTTAATTTAAATATAGTTTCCCGTTATACTTTCGACAAACATATACAACTAATATTATTTATTGATTAAACCAATAAAAGAGGACATTAATTAAAGCAAAACATGTGAAACTTAAAACAATAAAATATTTTGTCATTTCCTGATTTTTAAATAATATAGAGAAAAATTAAATATAAATAGAAAAAGTTTTTATTTATTTGAAATTATAAGTATAAAATATAATAGATAGATGTGATGAAATTATGAATAATAAAAATATATTATTTGTGTAACGGTTGTGAGTGAAGAATTAAATAAGTGAAAAGAAAGCAATTAAAAATCATACTGTCTAGCTCCCCTAGCGATGGCAGCTGTGCTTCCCCAACATCAATACTCACTTCTTCAGTATCTGCATATGCAAATATATCATCAAATTTAACACTAAAGGTACTTCCAAGAGTATCATCTGCGTCTGCCATAGCTCCGGCGTTTTCCTTCTACTTTTCACAAATTTCTTAATTGCTGTGACATTCCTCAATTGTTCATTCATGAACAGAGTTTCCATTTATTTTGAGCAAAAGACGCAGTATAAGCCAAGTAATTCCATAAAGTGATAAAAAAGAGAACAAGCACCAGAAAACATTGCACTCAAAGTATTAAAGAATACTTAATATACCTTTTTTTAAATTATGATTACTTAAAATATGTAAAATATCATTATATATTTACAATGTAATGATGAGTTAAACTAGTTGATTTTGTCGAGTTGATCTTATTAATTATGTAAATTACCTTTTTTTTCATTTCTTTCCTATATCTTTGATACTTAATACTATATCTCTTTCGTTTGTTTTTTTTAATAGCATTTCAGTCATTTAAAAACGTTATATATTAAAGTTTATTCGGCATAAAATTTAATTATAATATGAGGCATGTATTTAAAAAATATATATTTAAGAATTTTATTTATGTTAAATAATTGTACACTTTCCATTAAACACTAAAACACCAATTATTTATTGAGAAATATCACTCATGGTGTATTTTTAAAAGCAATGTGGTAATTGTAAAAAAGAGAAAGAAAAAGTAAAAATAAAAATATATAAATATACTTGATTCTCTCATTGCACTTAATAAAGAGACCCTTGAAAAACACTTATTGTTGTTTGCAGGAACAAAGAGCAAGAAACGAACAACTGTACAATGCGGTGAAAGAAGACTAATAGAAATATTCAAAAATTGAGAGAAAGTTCAAATGTAGGATCTGATACTTTGGAAAAAATAATTAACATCTATTTGAATTTGGTTTTTATTAAAAAATGTCCTAAAAAGCGAATTGTTGAAAAAAATGACTATTTGTTATTTTGGTATGGAAAAGGTGCAGTTAGTGCTTTTTATTATATTCACAAGATATTATATAAAACTCGTTAAATTGTATTCATAGCTGCACACTTTGTAATAATTTTGAACAATATTTACTTTATTATTGCATTCTTTCTTGTTATTTCTTTTTATTGATGAAATTTTGTTTGTCTGTTTCACTAGGAGAAAGATTGAATAGATAGATTTCAGAAAATGAAAAGTGGATTATAATATTGTTTAAATTAAGAAAAAGATGTTGTAATTTAAGTGGATTTGAAATAAAAGTTATTATAATGTGATAAATATGATACATTTAAAAATATTTTAATAAATAAAATTATATGTGATTAGTATTTTATTTTTTATGATAAAGATGATATAAATTTAAATATAAATAGTGAAAATTATATTAAAATAAATTTGAAGTTTTTATTTAAAATTAAAAATTATTATTATTATTATTATTAATCTATTATTATTTATTATTATTAATCTATTATTATTTATTATTAATAATCTATCATTATTACAATTAATATTATTAAAACCAGCATGTGCAGTACCTAAATCACTGATTGAATCATTAATACATGTTAAATTTCTTCTCTTTTGTGAAAGATGTTAGGAAGGAGTCAATCACTCACTTTTTGTATAACAATAAATAAATAGTCACGAATGAATGAATGAATATATATATATATATATATATATATATATATATATATATATATATATATATATATATATATATATATTTTTAAAATATATTGTTAAAGTGGGACACTGAACAAATATTATTAGTTATTAAATTAAAATAGTATAATATTTTATGAAAATTATTAATTTAAACAAGTTGTATGAAATTGATATAACATAATTTCTTTTGATAAAAAATAATAAGTTTAAAACATCAAACCTACGAGGAAGTCCATTGGACTTGCTACGAACAAGAAGTTTGGTTGGAGGGGCTATTTTCCTGCACCTTTTCTTTCTATACCCGTAAATTTCATTGGTGTCCATTATAATCCTAGGAATTATATATATTTTTTATTAAACCCGGTTATGAAATTTTATGAATTTCAAAAATCGGTTCTGAAATTTCTTGGATCTCAAAATCAATTTTTCAGATTTCAAAATCTTATTTTAAATTTTGTATTTTGAAATATAATTTGAATTTTCTTTAATTTTAAAATTCAGTTCTGAATTTTTTGAAATTCTGAAATCCAATTCTGAATATTTTTGAATTTTAAAAATTGATTTTTCAGTTTTTGAATTTCGTAATCTAATTTAGAAATTTTTCAAATTTTGAAACTCAAGTCTAGATTTCTCGAATTTTGAAATTTAATTTTTGAGTTTTATAGATTTTAGAATTTTCAAAATTTCAAAAAGAAATTTTTATATTTTCTAAACCCAGTCAATAACTTATCAAAACATGGATGGTGACTGTAATAGACTCACCAGAATTGATAATTCCAATTTCAATATTCATAACTAAGCTCTCCTGATTTCAAAATTAGCCAAATTTTCTGCTGCTATCAATTTTCTTCTACCTAAAACTTTCAAATTTCTACATTTTTTTTTACTCAGAATCTTAAAAAATTGAAAATGTTCGAAACTTGCGGACGAAAAGATCAAATTTCTTAGAAAACAAAATAAATCTCCAATCTCCCCTTTTTAAAAACCTTAATTAATCAAACATGTTTCAAAACATTTAATTAATACTATTGATGCTTACTTTTAGAAATGTTCTTATGACACAAACAATCAATCACCTTCTCTAAGTGCACTTTCACTTTACAGGAATTTGATCCATTTTTACTGCATGGGAGCATGGCGAGAAGTGATTTAGCAATTATGATTAGAGGTCCAAACCAAAAACCAAAAACCAAAAACCAAATTAACGAGTAGTACGTGGAGCTGAGTTAAAATTTGCATAAAATTTATGGTAAGGAAAAATATACAACATCTTATCACTAAAATGGGATTTACTACTTTCCTACATTTTCTTCATCTGATATATATAGCTACATGCTTTTATTGAATTAAATGAAAAGAAGAATAGAAAAGGCTTGACCCTATAACACTTGAGGAAAAAGCCTAAATACTGGTAATACAAATGGGTATTGAATCAACCCACAACATTCCAACATGCATACTACCTCGGAGATTTTGTAGACAGACATTTCCCACACGAGACCAGATTCAGCAATGCACGTGGTTTTCGACTACGAATTTTCAACCGTGACAGCTGCCAAACCAATCAATTAAAAACATCAATTATAATGTACTGCTGTATAATAATCAAAAATTGAATAAATTGCCACACTAACGTCACATCTAACGTCAATAACTTAGACGAATTCTCACATGTAAACCACGAAAGTAATGGATATCACATCCCCTATAATGCACAAGCAACACAATCATGCCCTTGATGAATTGTTTACAAAATTCAATAAAATGAACTACCTTTCGCCGAGTTGCTCTTGATGCTTTCCAGCATAGCAAGCTTCTTGATCTTGGCTCCAGTCTCCTAAGGAGTAAATGATTTTCAAACTAATCGTAAGTTATGAGTTATAACAGAGACATTATCATATCACTCAAACAAGATAACACCAAATTCCAAAGCTTAATAATTCAAGACATTCACGTTAACAAACTCTATCGAAACGGTGGAATGGTAACTTACAAATTCTCTTGTTCAAGCTTCTCAGCAATAGAAACTGCTTTACGTTTTGACCACCCACTTCTCTGGCCTTCTGCTTGCTGGATTACATGAGCAAGAGATACTTTGCTTCTTACAAGACTTCGACTTTGATTTTGCTCCGTAAGCTTTCTTTGGTCTAACTGCGACTTAACAATTGGCTTGTTTTGGGAAACTGACGTGTGTCCTATACTTGTACCTTCTAATTTTCTATAAGACGTTCCATGACCATTTACCTGCTGCTCATTAGTCTTGTGCTCCACTTCAGAAGATGCTTCTTCTACAATTTCACCCCTTCTTTTTTCAACAGAATCAGTTAATGTTGGATGAGCTTGAGAACCAACACCGTTAAAGTCTCTTATCTGAGACAGAATATCATTAGTAGCAGGCAATGTAGGAGGCTGTTGAACAGCAGATCCAGCATCTTTGCCTGACTCACATCTAATTTCTATTGTTATAGAAGATCCAAGGACAGATTCAAATGCTTGTAAGATTTGGCCTGTGAACTTCTCGGCAGTAGATTTGGTCAAATGAGAACTAAACATTAGCTGCACAGTTGGAGCTGGAACATAAACCATAAAATATAGATAAATAATGAATGTTAATGAGTAGAGTAAAAATTAAGCAGGAGCACTACCATAACAGCATTAATCAAGATACAAAAGGTCAACTGGTAAAATGGAAAAATACTATTAACAAGATATATCATCTAAGATGCACAAGCACAGAGTGAAACAAAAATACTTCAAAGATAAAGCTCATAGCAAGTTTTAGTAAGGTAGTGTTTGCTGCAGACTAACCTCTCTTAACTTAATTATAAGTTCTAGAACAGACCCTGATGCCTGAACCAATTTTTCAATCTACTATAATAGTAATAGTAATACAAGACCATCAGGTGGACAACACTATATTCAGAATAATCACATGCAAGGTCAATTCATTCCATAATTATTCCCAACCTGGAATTCATGTAAAACATTGTTAACACTGATTATGACACCGCCAAAGGTGAGCATCACAGGAATGTTAGCATTTCAACTTTATGATAAAAATAATAACATTAACAATTCTGGCAAACAAGACTTTCAGGCCTTTGGCATGATACTACAGCTAGATATATGATGACTAATTTATCCCCTAGCTCCTCTAGATCTAAAGTGCATTTAAAAAATTAGGAATATTATATCAACACAGAGAATGGCATTTTTAAGGGGAAAATTTTTAATCATATGAATACAAAATATTATTAGATGTGTTGTTGAGTAAGCATTGTGCAGACTTGACACTCACCTGCCCCAAAACTAACAGAGATCAGCTTGCCTTCTTTAAACAGAAACTCTTTCAGACCAGTAACTTGTATTCTCTCAAGCACCTCTAACCATATCTCTCCAATTTCTTTCCGGCCTTTACCCA